AAAATATATTGTTTAGTATGTAATAAAATATTACATCTATATGTTGTAAGTAAGTAAAAACAAAAAAATAAATCTGTCTTACAGAAAATTTGATTTTAAAAATATATTTTAAGTCTCATAAAGTTTCCTTTTAAAAAGAAAAAAAAAAGTACTGTACAGGTGCCAGATGTACCTCCACAGTGAAGGCTGAATTCACAATTCAGTGCATGATCCATCATGTTTTTTAGTCACAGGAATTTTCCCAGTTCCCTAGAATGTAACATGAACCTTCTAGTTTACAAATAAATCCATTCTAATTGAAGATCCCATTCTAGAAGGTATAACCAAAAATTTGCAATATTAAACACTATAGATAATCCATGTATTTATTTTCTGAAGCCTTTTATAGTTTCATCCTGAATTATAAGTTTGACTCAAGGGGGAGTTCCAAATTCTTGTGCCTTTGGAGTTCTGCAGGCTGTTGCTACATGAACTTCTGGGCCATACGTGCCTTTTCTCATGCATGTCTGGCAAACTGCAAACTAAAGCAAGTTCTTTAGCCTAAAGATTGTGATAACATTAAAACAAATCCAGTATCCTCTTCAAAACAGTCTTGCTAAAAGGAAAAGAACAAGACTTAGCTATTGTAAAGCAAAACAAACAATGCATTTAGACCCCACTGCCCATACATTCACAGAATGTCTCAAGCTCCCTTCAAGATCCCAGTTTTGGGAATCTCTGCCTCTCCCTGGGCAAAGCAGGGAGTTCAAAATCATGCCACAAGATGGGCAACCTCCTGCCAGTCACTCACACACACTTAAGGTATAGGACCCTTTGATCCTTTTTTGCAGAAACAAGAGGAGAAGGGGAGGAAATCTCACTCTTAACTGCTCTGTTTCCTTTTTATCTTCTGATATCACAAGCCTTTTCTTCTCTTTCCATATCCTTCTCTATCATGTAAAATGTTTCCTCTGATAGGCTTTATGTTTGCCATTGTTCAGTTCTGAAGCATTACCAAGCAACAGAAATGTTAAGATGCAACAATGTTCTTTTTTCAGTGTAAACAATATGTATTTTCTAAGGACTGCAAAAAGATTAAAAGTTGCATTAACTCTGAAAGTTAGCCCTCAAAAAATAAAACCTTTCCCTTTACAAGATTCCAGAAATAAATGCTAAAGAAAACGTCATTTTCTTATTATTTTCACTGAAGTGATTCAGTGAGAATCAGAGAGAGTCACCACTTCCTACTATTTCAACTTTGGCATATTTTTGCTTCTACTTCCTGAAAAGAGATTCCACTTTCCCCAAAGACTCATTTTCCTTCCCAAAGTGAGACAAGTAAGACAGTGACTATTCTGAATTATGAGCCTTCTATTAAGAACAAAAATGATTTGGTGTTAGGAAAATAAAAAACTTAAACACAATTAGAAGAATATCATTATTAAATGATATGAGTCCTAAAAGTCACTGCTCTGTCTTATCTGCAAAACATCATATATATACACACCGAGCAGTGCCCAGCATTTGTAACAGAGCACACATCACATGATATCATACAGAGGCACTCAAGAGTTCCTTCCCTATCACAGACCCAATCTCCATGCCTATCAAGTGATGTTTTTCCAGCAATTACTTTTTGGTCATACAACAGAGGAATTTCAGGGCTATGAGATAAAAAGCTAAAATTAAACCTGACCCTACATATCAAAGCCAGCATTGTAATTTCAAAGTTTAAAAGACTCAAGCTATGGTATGATAGGGTTAACAATCAGCTGGTCTATGCAGAAACAGCACTGCATATGCTCTAACTTAATGCATTTTCATATGCCTCCATACTTGCTTGGAGCTAACAACAATCATCTGTTTCATTCTTTAAGATCCTTATTTCATCTTAAATTCAAATTCTAAAGTATGTTCACTTACTCACTTGACCATAATAAAAGCCTGTCCCTAACTCATTTAACACTTTTAAAGCAATCCCAAGACCACGTAATTGCAAATGCAAAGTGTAACTGTGGGTTTACCTGCATTCAGCTGATTTGAATTAGTCAGCTTGTTACCGTGGGGTTCAAGTAACATCTTCCAAAACATGAACAGATACTCCCTTCTCAAAGAAGCCACTATTTCGGCTACAATAGTAAATTCTTTCAAAGCACCCTGGAGACTAACCTCTTTTTCATCTGCCAACTGACAGCTACTTTCAATCTGTAATTCTAAAATATTAAATTAGTCACAGAGCTAGCAGCATCAAAGAAAGAGCACAGAGATAAGGGAAACACTGGAATCTAAACAAATTGCACAATAAAGGATATTCATTATATAGAATATATTTAGGAACAACAAAGATCCGCTTGCTCCAAATTCCAGTTCTTGCCTGTCCTCTCACTCTCTTTCCCAAAATGAAGCAAAATTAAATTATCATCCTGCATATGCTTTAAAGATGTGGTGGGTTGACCCTAGTCAGCAGCTAAGCATCCACACAACCAGATCCAGTACAAAAAAACCTTTGAACACCCAAAGTATCCTATACCTTTATGCATTTCTGTATCAACAGAAGCTGACCACAACGTTTCTCCTCAAATTATTGTATCTCTGTGCATTGTATAGAGAAGTCCTGAACCAGTATCTCCATACGTCTTGCATAGCAATGACACTATTGACACCTTCGGGAGTAGGAGTCTCCCAGGAGTACATGACAGAGCAGCTCCCTCCTCCACCCTAGTGCTCCAGAAATAGACAAGTCATTGCTAGAAAGCATTTTTCAGAAAGCAGAGTATTCTAAACTGAATATGGAGAAGAGAACAAGGAGGGGAGTAGCAACTTATTCCTACTAAATTGAATTTCAGAAGCTTAGAAGACAAGCAAGGTTGAGAATTTTTAAAATAAAAATGAGAGCTGGTACTTCATACAGCTATATATGTGATCAGGATTAAAATCAAAGTTGCTTATTATGCTACATTGTTTACTCCTCAAACTATCTTTAAATAACAACCCTCAGGGATACATGTTCTCAACCTCTACAAAACAAATATAGAAAAAAAAAGACGTAGTTATGTAAATATATTGAATAAATGCGTCCCATTTCCTTTCCCCTTACCTTTTCCACACTTCAGTGTAGCAACACCTATCGAGACAACTATGTTTTCCAGCAGCTCCTCCCTGAAAGAAGGAAACTACGGTCCCTTCGATTTCGGTAGCTATCAAGAGACCGCCTTTTTTTTTTTCCTACCCCCCTCCTCCTCCTCCTCCTCCTCCTCGCCCCGCCGAGCAGCGGTGACAGCCGTGCTCCTCTGGGGCAGCTCCCCGGAGCCCAGGGCCGAGGGAAGCGGAGGCAGAACGCCACCGAGGGGAGCCAGCACCACCACCTGCCTTTGCATCGGCCCACCCGAGAATGCCAAATACATTAACCCGGCGAGCAGCCCTCCCTCCCAAACTTTTGCAGTGAACGGCATCATATGCTCCCTCTCACTTCATCATGGAGAAAAAGATGAGGACAGAAAAGGAATGAAGGACACGAGTTAACAGCACCTTCGTTGTTAATCAATACAGAGAATATACGTTCTGATTGTGTTTTACACGCTCTTCTTAATTGACGTTAAAATTTAGATTTACTGCAGTGTTCAAGTTGCCTGGAAACTTCTGAGAAGCAGAGAATCCCTACTAAAAAGAAATAAAGCTCTTCCCCAACACAGCAACCTACAACGGAGGATTTCTGTTGGATCTTTAAAGGTCATACGTATTTCACATGTTGAACTACTTCTCCAGAGGGTCGTCAAGTAACTACCGAGCTACAAGAAATCCATAGACTGAAAACCCAGATAACTCTGTGGTTACGTGTTGGCATATTCCCCACCCTACAATTCCGGCATTTCACCGAGGTCAGAGAAAAGCTGTCACATAAAACGACTTCATTTAGGACTGGAACAAACCGCGCCCCCCCCCAGCATAGCTATAGAAGTGGATCAAACACACAACTTACAAAAAAATAACGTTTATAAGAGAGCGTGGCTACCCTTCATCTCCTTCAAAAGCGTCCAATACCACCAGGAAGTGGGACAGGGAAGCCAGGCATGGAGCAGAAGTCGAAGTGAACTACTTTTTTCAGAAATAAGAGAAGGCCCCCTCCCCGCCCCCATCGTACGCGCTCCTGCCCTTATATCCCAGCTCATCCTCTTTTTTCCCCCCGCCACTGAGACTTCCCCACCGGCCCCACCAACTCTGTTCGCTCCCTGCTCAGCCGTGCTCTCCTCGGCGCGGGCCGCCCGTGCCCCTCCGCCCCCGCGCGACCCCCGGGCCCGCCCGCTCACCGTTCCTCAGCTCGTGCTTCACCGTGAGGAGCGGCAGCTCCGCTTCCCCCGAGGCTCCCTCCATGTCCTCACGGGCGGCTCCCCCGCCCCTGCCGCTCCCGCGAGCGCGGCGGCGGGGGGATGTCACCTGGCCCGAGACGGCTTCTATTTTCCAGGGGCGCTCCGGGGCACAGGAGCCATGCAGGCGCGCTGGGGTCTGCCGCTCTCCCCTCCGCCTTCTTGGAAGACGGGGTGGGAGGTGGGGCGGAGGTTGGGGCAGAAAACCCCAAACCTACACCGCCCAACAACAAACAGTTATTAAAATCTAGGGAGGCACACGCACGACAGCTTCCCTCCCCAGGCGCTCAGAACCAGCCCATGTCCTTGCGCCTCCCCTCCCCCGGGCTCCGGCCGCCCTCCCCGCCCGACAGCGGGGAGCGGAGCGGAGCGGAGCGCGGCCGGGATAGGCTGAGCGGCGCGGGGGGGAGGAGGTGGGAGCGCCGCGGGGAGCGGCTCCTACTCAGGCGCGCGCGCCCCCTCCCTCCCCAGGCCGGGCGCTCATTGGCCGCGCGCGCCCGCGAGCCCCGGCGGCCGTCGGGCAGAGAACGTTCCCCGCGCGCCGCCCCCGCCCTTCCGCCGAGAGCCGCGCGCCCCCATTGGCTCGGCGGCTGCGCCAACCGCCGGCTCCGCCCCCCGCCTTCCCCCCGGCCCCTCTACTCCCCGATCTTGTTTGTAAACATTCCCGCCCGCCTCTCCCGCTGACCCCCGACCCCCGCGGGAGGGCGGGCGCTGGGCTGCCGAGAGGTAAGGAACGGCGCTGATTGACCACTGGAGCTGGCAATCACCTGAGGGAGGGGCCATGGCGCCCTTCCTCGCCTTACGGCGGGTTCCACCGTACTCGAAGGGGGGAGCGGCCGTGGGCTGACCCACTCGCGGTGGCGGCCGGGGGGAGCCGGGCTCTAGCCTAGCGCGGGGATGCGGCAGCGGGATGGGAAGCGGGGTATCCCCGCGGGGGGATGCGGCGGGGCAGGGAGCAGCGAGGCATGGCCGGGGACGGAGAGATTCCCGCAGGGCCCCGGCCGCCCGCCCGTTGAGTCCCTGCCGTCCCGCACGGGAGGCGCGGGCGGTGCGTGCGGACTCGCGGCGGCGGCCGCGGCACACACATCGACAGGCCCGCCTGCAGCCCGCGGCCGTGCGCTCCGGTCACCGGGCTCAGGGGCCCACGGCGCGGGTGGCGCGGCCCCCGGTGCACGCAGGGGCCCCGCCTGGTGCCGCCTTCCCCTCGGCCGGGGCCTGGAGCGGGCGGAGAGCGTAGTGGCCTCTTGGGAGGTGGAAGAGGCCGCCTGTACTGAAGTGAAACCAGCCTTGGTGATCGCTGGAAGGGCGCACGGCCTGCAGGGTTATCGCAGCTCAGGAGGTGCCTGGCAAGGGCTTGCTGGTCGCAAGATAGGAGTGGGCGAGCTTGCTGGGGCCGTACATCCATGTGCCCGGTTCACCTTGCCTTGCCTGGGCCGCGTTCATCTGGTCCCTTCAGCTACGAGGGAGACACTGTCCTCGCAGAGGCTTTGATAGCGTTGTTGGGGGAGATACGGTTCAAAACATATCGGATCTGTTCATCTCAGTTAAGCTGCTCAGTCTGTTACGTTTTGGAGGCAAGCTGGTGTTTCTAAAGCTGTCCTCATTTCCTTGCAACAGATAACTCAAATGACTTTTCTCTCCATTTCTTATTTACAGTAATTTCTGACTGGTTGCTCTTGAATGCCACTGCTTCTATCCTTACACACAAGCTGCTAATTCACAATGCCATGTCTCAGCAGTAGTGTTCGCACAGACTCTAATTAAGTTACATCAAAGATCAATGAAATAAAATGTCTTAATCCATTATTCACACTCCAGTATTAAATATTTGTGTGTTTGTACACATATATGTAAAAAATGCATGTACATGTATCTGTTTCTACAGTTTCCTGTGGAGAGATTGAATTTTGCTATTTAAAGTCGGTGAGATTTTCGGTTTCATAATTGTTTATATACCAGGCCTCAGGTTTAGGGTGCCTATGCAGTTGTCATCCCAGAAATTAATAATACTACCTAAGGGTTTCATAGTATTTTTGGTAAAACTTTTGAAGGTGTTTCCCACCAAGCACTGCACCTGTTCTGTTGAGGTAGCTCAACCATACACCACAGGAGGTATGGTACATGCATAACTCCTCCAAAAATGTCCATCCAGTTACTGCCTTTCCACCAGAATTATATCAAGACTATAAAAATAAAAAGTCTGAGCATGGGAGATGTTTTCAAACTGGAAAATACTTGATTCCCTAACTTTTGTCACTTGTTTTTAGAAGCATTGCTATTGCAGAGAGAGTAAGTATTATATAAAAAGTATAGTATTAAACAATAAAAGGGAAAATGGAAATACTAAACTGATTAAATTATTTATTAATTATTATTAAATTAATAAGTTTTTGCATCTTTGTAACTAATGGCTCCTGATGGCTCTCTGGTGGGGACTGTGAGATTTACTTACTCATTACAAGGCGTAATAACCACTTCTGATTATTCCATGTCCCAGATACTAGATTTTAAAGAGCCTGGTGCTATATTTCATCCAGTGCCTCTACTAGCCTACTCTTGGACTAACTGTCCCGGGCAGCCTCAGAGGAGAGAAGCTGAAATCTGACTCCTGAAAAGCTGAAATGTGAGGGGTGCTGGCATTGAGTCCAGTAGTTGTTAATAGTCTTGGTTTCAGATGTCCATAGCTTGACAGGCTGTATCTGCTTATTTGCCCCAGGCTGAAAATTTCTCTCAGCTAAAACAGCTTTAAAAAATGAGGCAATAACCCTAAAATACCAAACCAAGAATACTGATCCATGCTGACAATGCATATAATAAAACACAGTGATTATTGTGTATATTTCAATTTAAGATGTGCCTGGCCTTGAAAAGTACTACTGCATGAACTGAAAGTTCTTTATTATTACTGAAGGATCCCTTGATGTACTTGAAACATGGTCATTCCAATAAAAAAAAAAGTTAAGATTTTTTACATAACAGTTTCTCCAGTGTTAAAATGTTTTTGCAGTGGGATTCTTGTGTCATGTCCAGAAACAGCAAAGCAGCCCTGCTGAATGCTTGGAAAGAATCCCACCTTTTGACAGACAAAAGAGCTATACTTGTACTGAAATCCTAAACCTCCTGTCAGGAGTCCATGAGTGCAAGACTGTGCTTAAGTTTTCCTTTCAACGTTGGGAGCAGTGGAGGGTTAGACTTGGTTGTGTACTTGACATGAGAGTAGATCTACCTTGAGCAGAATGGTCCAGGCATAGTGGGCTGGTGACATGCCTCCATCATACAGCAGTATCACATGGCTTTGTGGGTGCTTTAAAGGACAGAGTTCTGCCACCCTTAAGGATAGATTGGAATTACAGATAAGTGGAAATATACAGGCTGCATCTATACCAGAAAATAAAACTGATTAGGACTCATTCTGTAGGTGTCAGGGAGGGCATGACATAGCATGGTGCAGCTAAATTCTTTCCCCTTCAAAAGAGTGGCCTTTTTTTCACTGCCTCCTGGATTTGTCTAGACAGCACACCATTACTGAGCTGTGCTAGCCTCCAGCTTGGATGTACAAAGACATTGCCTGGAAGAATACTGGCCAGGGACCCAACCATTCCTGGAAGCATGCCAGCAGTCAGAAGTATGGATTGTCAGGTGCCAGCACTGATTGGGCCTTTGTCCTGTTTAAGTCACTGCACTGTCACAGAGTCAGATGAGGGAGGAAATTTGGCTCAAGCCTGCAGCCAAAGCAGCATGAGAAAGTCCAGGAAGAGTGATGGGCTTAGACCCAGAGGGAGTACAGACTGGTCTGTAAAAGTTTTTTTGTTAGTTTGGAGAAGTAAAACCACCATTGTTATGTTAACTGTGCTTTTAGAAGTGCAGTTTAACTGACTGAAATTGTTACTTGCATTTAAATACATTTGTGTGTATGCTGCAACACTGAAAAAAACCTACTGTTTGTATCATGTGCATACAATAAATTACCCCTCTGGTATAAAAGGAAAAATATTTGATGTTTAAATGATTAAAAGCTATGGGGCAGTGCAGAGCTACTCATGATCCAAAGTGTCAATGGTTTTTGTTTTTTAAGCAGCATTTTCATATTCATGTGCACAACCCAACAGGTCAGTCAGCCAACAGTTCAGTGTTTGGGCTGAGCATGTGCTGCAAGTTTGGGAATTTGGAGTAACACCATTCTAAAGATAGATGTCCCTTCTCTACCCCACAACACAACTGTTCAAAAATATGTGTATTAACTTGTCATTCCTAATTGGGAAAAGAGGGAGGAAAAAAACGCTGTGGGAAATTCCCACATGGAAAGATATTATTGAGCTTCATTAAAGAAAAAGTGTCACAATATTTTATTTTTGGTTCTAAAAGAGGTGGTGTGCCAAGCTGGTTTGAGGGTTGAGGTGAAATTGAAATGCTCAGTGTACAGACATCTGAGAGGAAATGAGAGAGAAAAAGAAGAACATGAGTGCTAGAGCTGCGTATTTCCAGGGTGCCAGGGCCTCACCAGTTTGGAGGTATTTAATTTACTTTGTTTCTGAAGGGGAGCTACTTATGGAAATTGTAATTTCTATGGAGCTAAAGTTGAAGGTGTTTGGGGCTTTCTTATGGTCATTGAATTGTTACAGAAATAGGTGTTATTTTCAAAGGACAAATTTTGGAAGGCTAGATGATACAAAATGTTCCCCTTCATCACTCCATGGAGAACATTTGCACAGCAGAAGAAAAAAAGGATAAAATTTTGGAAACCACAAAATGAATTTAGGGAAGGAGTCACTGTGAAAGACAAACATAACATGAAACAGATTTTGTGAGAAATTTTAGTTTAGTATTAGTTCTAGTTTTTAGTTTGCATATCTTCTCTGTGATTTTTATCTTTTGTTTAATCTGAACCTTTAATTGAACACTCTGTGCTTGATAACTGTCAGAAAAGTAGACTGGGTAGGTATATTTGTTGTTAAAAGTATTTTTTATGAAACTGCTCTGGGCAACAGTTTTATCTCTCTAAAACCACTTAATGTTTTTACCATGAAAGGAGAAGTTATGCTAAGCATCCAAGTCTAATAATTCTCTTAACGGAAGTGGTACAACTCTGTCAGGAAGTGGATCATTTCTTGAAAGAGTGCATTTAAGCATTACTGCTTCAGGGGTCCTGTTTCAGTTAGTATTCATTTCTTCACTGAAAAGTGGTTGGTTTATTTTTTTCTTCAGTCATCGTACAGTTGCAACTACCATTAGGCAGCACTTTCAAAAGTTTAATTATGAAAAATCTACCTGGTTATAAAAGAGGGGGAAAAATTGTCATGTCTCTCAGTTTCTGATGAGGAAGAGGAGAATGAATGAATGCTGTCAACAGGGGACAGAAAGCAGCACTAGCCATTGACACAGAAATAGGGGTTTATTTCACTTTTTGAACTGCTAAAGCTTCTTAAGGTAGGCAAAAATAGAACTTCTGTTTATTAAAAATAATTGACTTTTGAATCCCAATCCTTACTCGCAATAGTTTGAATTTTTTTCAGATTTGTTGGAGGAAACACAGAGGACTGTTCTACATAATGTTGTCATTAAACCTCAATAATACTCCCTGTGTAAACTCAAAGTCCTTTTCAAAAGACCTGCATGTGAATTCTCACTATTTTGAAAATTTACTGTCAACTTTGGAGAAGGTGACCTTAGAAAGGAGAAGTTAATCAAGGTGATCTGAAAGCTAGTGAGGATGAAATTAAAACTTA